AACATTCTTCTGACAAAAGTTCAATCGCATCGTATCGGTTTCATCTTCACAAACAGGACACGCTTTTTGACCCTTAATGCTGTACCCTGATAGATTTCCGTACGCCGGAAAATCATTAATTGTTCCAAACAACATCGCCCTCAAGTTGAAACTTTCTTTCCTATACCCATCGTAAACCTCCACACCGGTCTCCCACAAAAACTTTAAATCTTCGACTAAGGGTGCCAAGTACACGTCTATGTCATTCCCTGGTTGTTTGGGCCCAGAAATTAGCATAGATAACATCATGTACTTACGCTTCATACATAGCCACGGAGGTAGGTTATATATCATAAGAATCACAGGCCATGTGCTATGCGAGATACTTTGAATACCATGCGGGTTCATTCCATCAGTAGACAACGACAAGCGAAGATTTCTTGCTTCTTTTCCAAATTCAGGATAATCAATATCAACTTTCGTCCACTGTGGTGAGTCTGCCGGATGTCGCAACTTCCCATCAATAATTCTTTCATCTGCATGCCAAGTCAAGTGTCTTGAATCGGTCTCACTACGATACATGCGCCTAAATCTCGGAATTATAGGAAAATACCATAACACCTTTTCCGGAGACAACTTTTCCTTATATCGAGGGGCACCGCATTTAGGACACTCATTTAACACTGCGTACTCGTTTCGAAATAAAACGCAATCTTTTGGACATGCATGTATCTTTTCATAGCTCATGCCAATAGAGGACAACATCTTTTTGGCCTCATACGTTCGATTGGGAAGAACATTATCCTCTGGTAGCATTTCTTTCACGAGGGCTAATAACTGTGTGAAACTTTTATCCGACCATCCGTTGTCCGCCTTTAAGTTGTACAACTTTAACACCGCAGACAATCTTGTGAATTTTGTACAACCATCATACAACGGTTTCTCTGCATCGCTTACCAACCTCTCGAACATTTTGGGACAATCCTCAAGATCTTCTTCAAGCGCTTCTGCAATCTCTTCGACTCGATCATAATCGTATGCGTCTGCGAAATCCTCATTTGAAGCATACGTCGTATTATAACTCGATTCAACATTCCCGCTACTTTTCTCACCATGCAAATTCCAACATGCATAACTTCTATCAATTCCATGCATCAGTAAATGCGATTCCAACTGAACCGCGTCAACCCGTCTCCCATAACAGCATCTCAAGCAAGGACATATCATTCCATTGGGTTCTCTGGCGTGCGCAACGGCAAACTTAACGAATTCTGATACCCCATCCTCATACTCTTTCGACAATCGATTGGCAGTCATCCATTTTTTATCCATGGTTTGACTATAGCAACTAATTAGTCACGCAACTATAGCAAAATAATAATTAATTACCTGTAAATAAATTCAACATATCAGGTAATCAAATTCATAGTTATTCTTGCCTCACCTTAAGCATGTGCTAAACAACTCATAACTAATTACTAACTAGTGAAGTCGGATATAAACAAAAACACAACCGCAGCTCATGAATTCCACTCAACTATAATCATTAGAAATTCACACTGAGCCGGAAAATAAAAGTAAAAACAATCAGTTATTCAAGTCAGTTCAAGAATAGGATAGAAACCTTTGAAAATGTTGAGAGCGTCCCGCGTACACTACGATCAAGGACAGTTCGAATTTCTTCAATCGGAGAAAGTTTCACAGCTTTTTCCTACCACAATCGATATTAAATCGTTGAACTATCCGCTGCATGATTTGAATGTAAACAACATGTTAAACTTAGGAGTAACTAAAAACAAAACATTTTCATTGACAATATAGATCACATTCCCTTATTTGTTTCCACCATACTAGTGAAGCAAATGACGAATGGCAGCAACGCAAGGTTCTTTCAGCCACCTTTTTGTCCAACTGTTGTATAAGAAAAGTATGTTAATTAATTGGAATGTAAGCTTACTAGATAGATTTCTGTACATGTTGAAGAAGTTACCTCTAGTTCGTTTGCAATTATATCAACATCTGCTGCATTTATCTTAACAGCAGCTAATTCTTTCTCCCTGTGATTCAATCAAAATTCATACTAAGGTTCAGAGAGAGAAGAAAACAAAAATTCGTAGCCAAAACGTCACATTTCATTCATTACATATATACAAAAATGTGTAGTGCATATTGGATAAGACTTCATATAAATTGTGAATATGAGTATAATGCACAAACCTAGGTTTTGTACTAGCTTACAAGGTTTGGCTCTCATCGTTTTCAAGTTGTTGTGTCCTTTAGTTAAGGAAATGAGTGAATGAATATTAAGGTATAATTGAATATTGTAGGGGATGGTTTTGTTTTCAAGTCCATATCATAAGTCGTAAACTAGCTAGAATGCATATGTTGATGTTATTTACGTTGGCAAATCAACTTTTCCATCAACATCTATTGACTGTAGATTGCAATGAACATGGAAACAACTTCACCGGGGATATAACTACCAAGCTCAAAACTCATGATTGAAAATAGAGATTTCCAAATGAATTTATAGAACTACTAATATTTAAAAATAAAATACTAGTATTCGGATTACACCATCTATATGTGGTTCCCTTAATTAGTTAATTAGTCACATAACAATATTCTCAATTAATTAGGATATTAATCGAGCTATTCCCTTTCTTATAATAAAGCTACTCATTAAATTCTAAGGTCGATATAATTTCCCTTAAGCCAGAAATCTAATCACCCTCGTGTTCCTATAGGATTTCCCTCAAGTCGAAAGCCTAGGCACTCTCATATACAAAATGAATCCATACGATTTCCCTTAAGCCAAAAATCTAGAGACCCTTATCAAAAAATGAATCTGTATAGCTTCCCTCAAGCCAAAAACATAGATTCCTCAATTGCAATGTACTTGTACGATTCCCCTCAAGCCGGAAGTCTAGGTATTCATTGCATATAATGTATCGACACAATTTCCCTCAATCCAGAAATATGGATACTCTCAACATAACACATCCATATTATTTCCCCCATCCAAAAATATAGAGATGTTATCAACATACAATGTATCAATATAATCTCCCTTAAGCCGAGAATATAGATATCTTTAGATACTATGTACATGTCTGATTTTACTTAAGTTGGAAATCTAGGGGGATGCATAAAGTAGAAACATTCACACTTGCACATTCTTGCTTTACTATAGGAAATACCTTCTCAATAGCTCTCTAACATATCCAACAACATCTCGCCTCGAGTTATAGATCTCAAACTACGTTAAGATCACTACCCCTACAATTCTAAACAAGTCGGCTCGCTTGGTGACACTCAAGCGAGACCTTATAGAACTAAAACTTTTCCCAAAATAGGTCCTTCATTTAGCGAAAAACAACTATCTCTAAGTGAGATCTTATTGGGCATAATATTTTCTCACTAAGCGAGTATACTAGAACTTTCAGGATTCATAACACAGAAGTCACAATCATGAATACATTAAACATGTCAAGGAAGGAAATAATCATATATACACCAAGGTCATACCATCATGGCATTATTCTAATCTCAATGAATGAAATTATTACAATGGATAGGATCTCATTTACATATCAACAGAGAAATTCAAACTTAGCAACCAACCATAAACTTATCACATATCACAAACTGTCATATAAGCATGATATTTAATCATCAACCCGCACAATTCAAAAAAATTAAAAAACGAATTCAGAACAATAAAAAATCAATACAAAATCAATAGAGTCCTATACCATTTTAATTGTAGAACATCACAAGAAACAAAATATAACAAACTTTTCCAGCTCACTAAATCTCACAACCAATTCACTCGGATCCTCTCCTAACAAAATTCATTCTTATCTAAATTCTCTATCAAAATCACTACCCTACCCTCACCAATTTCCCTATATAAACATCTTTAATCCTCCTCATTTCACAGACACAAATCCCTCAAAAACATGCCAAAAATCTGTTGAAACTCCACTTTTCCCTCATCAACAAATATTGCATCAAACCTCTGCTGAAAAATCTACTACCCTCACCTCAAATTTATGTAAAATACCTCGTAAACTCACCTCACCACCCATGTCCATTTAACCTGCATTAACCATAATTACACTCATACACACACTACCTCCAAAACTCAATAGACCTCATCTCTCAGACACAAACTTACACACAGACGCAACAAATTGAGACACAAATTCGCAACACACACACACACCACACACAAAGTAGAAATACAATCACAGGAAGAAGAGACAATCAGAGAAGAAGCGAAGCAGAATAAGAAATTTGGTTTAAGGTTCGTAGTACCTACACTAACTTGTCATGCATCAAAAACACTGGTAAATTTAAACCATGTTCGTTTCAGATATACTTCAGAAAACTTAGATTCTCTCTGGTTCCAAATATGAACAAAGTATTTGAAACATAAAGAAAATGCTAGATGCACCAAAGACGTCATTCCACGTGCATCTTGAATAAGATTACTGCCTCATAAAAATATATCTACTAGTGCCTCCTGTAGAATTCCAATAAGAATTTTGATATAGATAGTTTCAAACATACTTGACATAAATTTGAAGCAAATTTAAATCTATTTCTCAAACATCTCAAGTCTGATGCATTTCATCATTTCTGCCTCCTAACTTGTCAAGTCAAATCAATTCTGAGTGATTTCTTCAACAACATTGTACAAATTATCAAGAGGTATCGATAAATCATACTTGTAAACAACTTTTGCATTCATCAAATGCCTCTGATATACCTATCTATTGTGAATTTTATGGACTGGTGCAAGAATAACTAATAAATAAGTAAATAACTAACAAACACTGAAAAAATGAATAATAAAATAAATAAAGATCTAGAGTAAAAATCAGAATGAAATTTATACCTCAAACAAAACAGAAAAAATAATAATATGGCGAGAAGTTTGCCTTCATGAACAAGTTCTCTTGTTCATCTACTCATAATATGACGTCTTTGGTGCAATAGTTACTCATTAGTTTAACATGCAAGGTACAATGAGTATGTCAGTAGCTCACTAATTTAACCTCAATGAATATTAGAAGAACACATCACAGAGAATCAATTTCAAACACAGAAAAAAGAAACGAGATTATCATAGAAGTAATATATAATATAGTAACAACTGGGTAGTGAAGAATTGATGATACCTAATGATGATAACTGAGATTGATGCAAAGCGTTTCACTTCTAAGATACCGGAAATGGTGGCATAGCTAGAGAAGGACAGGGGAAGCTCGTTGTAGGTGTACTGGAAGGAGTTGATGGAGCGGAATTGTGGTTGGAAAGGGTGTAGACGGTGGGGGTGACCAACGGAGGCTGAAAAGCTTAAGACGAACGGCGGCGACGGCAGAAATGAGGAAGCTTTGAACGAAAGAAATGAAGAAGACTAAAGAACAGATTTAGGGATTTTTAATTTTATTATAAAAACAACCTACGAAAGCGCTTTTAAAAAGCGCTGGCATAGGGTACCCTATAAGAGCGCTTCTGAGGTAAAAAGCGCTTTCGTAGGTCCCCCTATCAAAGCGCTTTTCAAAAGCGCTGGCATAGGGTTCCCTATAAGAGCGCTTTTCAAAAGCGCTTTCGTAGGTTAGATATTTCAAATACCTATGAAAGCGCTTTCTGAAAAGCGCTTTCGTAGGGAACCCTATGCCAGCGCTTTTAAAAAAGCGCCTTCGTAGGTTTCCCTTTTTTTTAATTTTGTTTTTTGTGAAGGCTATGGCAGCGCTTTTTCAATAAGCGCTTTAGTAGAGGCGCTGCTAAAACTTGTTTTTGGCGTAGTGACTTTAGACAGCGCTTACTAAAAGCGCTGCTATAGGCCTCATCAAAGGCAACGCTTTTTCTCACTAAGCGCTGCTATAGGGTTTTAAAAAAAATTAAAATTAAAAAATTAATAAAAGCGCTGCTAAAGGGTATGCTTTAGACAGCGCTTTTTGGAAGCGCTGCTAAAGGTGTAAGTCTAAAAGCGCTGCTAAAGGGGGGTAAACCTAAAGCGCTGCTAAAGGGGGTACCTTTAGCAGCGCTTCTTGAAAGCGCTGCCTTTGTGTAAATCTAAAAGCGCTGCTAAAGGGGGGGTAAGCCTAAAGCGCTGCTAAAGGGGGGTACCTTTAGCAGCGCTTCTTGAAAGCGCTGCCTTTGGTTTGTTAATTTATTTCTAAACCCCTAACCCCTAAATCAGATTTCCAGAAACACAAATCGCGCTGTTCATCTTCTTCTCCATTCGTCATCTCCATTACCCTCCTCTCAAACGGCTTCATCTTCATCGGTTTGAAATTATCTTCATCTTCACAAATCGCTGTCATTTATCAATAACGTGTTCTTCTTCATCTCCAAGTAAGTGTTCTTCTTCATCTCCAATAACGTGTTCTTGCTGATCTTACCTAAACCATGCAAATATTGACCCAAGTTTCCATTGTCAATATGTTCGTATACAAGGAAAAGCGATCCCTATATTGACCCAAGTTATGATGATTTTTTTTTAATTCTAAAAACAGTTCAGATACAAACCGATCGATAGATCCACGCTCTCTATACTAAACAAGGCAACAACCAAACCACAACTATAAATTCTTACAGAATTCACTAAGCTTTCTATCTAGCTCGATGCACATTACAATCACATCAATAATGTCCTCACTGTTGAGATTACCTTTGTTGAAGCCTTGAAAAATGACTCGGTTCCTAATGCTCCAAATATTGTAAATAGATTCAGCAACTGTCGTCCTAATAAGGTTAAGCGTGATATTTTGAGAACTATAAACTTTGAGGAAGGCCCCCTCCCTTTTAGATATTTAGGGATTCCTCTTTCTAGTAAGAAGTTGACTGTGCATAATTGCATTGGTTTGGTTGATAAAATTGTTAATAGAATTAGGCATTGGAGTTCTAGATTGTTAAGCATGGCTGGTAGAACCCAATTAATTAAAAGTGTCATGTTTTCCATTAGTAATTTTTGGTTGCAGTGTCTCCCTATACCTAAGAAAATTATTAAGAGGGTTAAAACAATTTGTAGGACATTTTTATGGACTGGTATTGAGGTAGTGACCCATAAATCCCCTATTTCTTGGAAGAAGGTGTGTGCTCCTAGAAATAAGGGGGCCTTAACATCATTTCTTTGCAGGATTAGAATAAAGCTTATAGGCTGAAGAATTTGTGGAACATAAATAAGAAGGCAGACAACATTTGGATTAGGTGGATTCATGTCTACTACTCCAAAGGGCTTAATATTATGACTATGCCTGTGAGGAACTCTGCATCCTGGATTATAAAACACATTCTGAATCTCATAAATGAGACTTCTAATATGTAGGTGTGGAACAACATGTTGATGCATGGAAAATTCAGTACAAGGAAAATGTATCAGAATTTAAAGGACCAATCCCATTATGTGATGTGGAAGAAGGTTCTGTTTGGGAATGCTGCCAGAGCCAGATTCATTCACACTTTGTGGATGACGTGCCATGGTATTTTGCCAACAAAATAGAGACTTGATAGGTTTGGAATGTTGCCTAGTGTTGATTGTAATTTCTGCAGGGAGACTGAGACTTTAGATCAAATGTTTTATGACTGCAGTGGGATCAAAAGGATTTGGAAGAGCATCCTAAAGTGGTTAGATATTGTGCATAGTCTTGGTGCTTGGAAGAATGAAATCACATGGATGATTAACATGTGCAAGAAGAACAGTAACAAGATCAAGATCCTGTAATGAGCTTTTACTGACACGCTTTATGAGTGTTGGAGATTTCGGAATGAGAAGTGCTTTGGGGATAATCCGTGTCACAAAGTTACTATCTCTAATATAATGGATGCTATTGTGATATATGTTGGGCTAAGCCTATGTTAATGCCTTACATTGGTAGGATTCTAATGCCTTAATGTGTATGTGTTTTATTTTCGCTTTCCTGATTGTTTCGGTTTAGTTGTGAAGATGTGAAGAAAATGCAAGAAAGGGGGATTTCCCTATATTGCACTCAACCAAACTAGCTCGTCCTCCCATTTTCCAAGCGTATGATTAACACCACACCATGTTAGAACTTGACTTCAAATCTGATTAGTTTCAACACAATCAAAGAAGAGGTGCTGACAACTCTCATGTAACCCACAAAAGACGCGAAGACCATCCGTTTGCACTTCGTACTTCTGCATTCTATCTTTAGTAGGTAATCTTCCATGGAAAGCTAACCAAAAGGTGAATGTAGCTCTAGGTCTTGCCATATTTCTCATGATCAACTTTCTCCAAGCCACCTTTGGCTTGTCTCCTCTCAACATATGGTAAGCTACCCTAGTAACATATTTCCCTGTTTGTTGAAATATACTCTAGGCAGTAGAGTTAACAAACACATACCTATTTTTAAACATATCCTTTAGGACCCAGGAGCTATGCACAGCATGAAGTACCTTTTCCAATCAGCATTTTTCATATAAAACTTATGTATCCAATGAATCCAAAGAGTATCTTTTTTAACACATAAATTCCACAAAAGCTTACCTATAGTGGCCTTGTTTCAGTCCTTGAGGAATATCAGGTTTAGACCCCTTCAACTTTAGAGTCACATACATCATACCAGCATATGGAGGCTTTCCTACTAGGGCTATCCTTCCCTTTCCATAAGAAACTTCCGCAGAACCTCTCAATATAGCCAATAGTTAGCTATTGAGAAGATCACACTTTTAATCAATTGATATCTACATGCATAAGATAGAAGCCTGGTGCTCCAATGCTTCATTCTGACCAGCATCTTATCATAAGGGGCTGATATTGCACAATAGACAACTTTCAGAAGCTTTTGCTTAGATTGAACTGTGCTATTCTCAATCTGTCTACTGAGTATTTAGGAAGCTTTGGCCTAAAAACAAGGTAGAGTGTTCCAATGGTGATGGATATTGCAATAATAAGAACCAATGACTTTGGAATAGCTTGAGCAATAGATTTTATAAGAGTTACTATGCCAGCATAGGATAGAGTCTTTTCCTTCCAACTTTGGAGTTTATCTCTGATTCTGTCCACTATGTACCCAAAAATTTGATTTCTAGACTTGTTGATCTGAGTAGGGAGACCCAGACAATGTTGAATTGGATCAGACAATAGGAATGTTAAGAATATTCTGGAAACTTTCCAGAGTTGAATTGTATTTCAGATTTGTTATAATTAATTTTTTGTCCTGAGGTGTCTTGATACTTCTGAAAGATTTTGCTTAAATTTCTAGCTTCTTTTGTTGTGTCCTGGCAAAAAATCAGACTGTCATCCGCAAAGAGGAGATGTGTGATGTTAGGAGCTGTTTTTGCATCTTTAATTCCAGTAATAAGGTGACTAGTCTGAGCATGTTTCATAAGAGTCGAAAATATGTCAGCACTATGAACGTGCAAATGGTCAAGTGCTCAGACCAAATGATACATTGTGGTGTCTACGATATACATGGTACCTAACATTACTTGATGACTGCAATTTATTGCCATAATCAAATTGAAAACAGAAAGCGATTGTGGAACAACTTGGTGAATATCTATAGGCAACAACAAGGATCTTGGATGTTGTTAGGCGATTTCAACAATGTTCTGAAGTGCACAGACAGAATAGGTGGAAGACAAATCAAGGAAGCAGAATACAGGGATTTGCAAGGGTTTATGGAGAAGGCAGGACTATATGAAATGGACAGCAGGGGTGAAAACTTCACTTGACCAAATAATCAAAGTGGATGTCCCATCTATTCAAGGATATATCACCTAATTGGTAATATAGAATGGCTTCAAGACCATATGAATTATACTCTTGAAGTGATGCAGCCTAGTGTGTCGGACCATGCATTACTATGTTCGAAGCAAATTATGAATGACAGGCGAAGGAGGAAGAACACCTTTAAGTTTACAAATTGTGTTGCAGACATGGACCACTTCATGTCGAAAGTGAATCTCAGCTTGAGGGAGCCTCTTGCAGGGCGACCAATGGTTGTAGTTTAGAGAAAACAAAAAAGGCTACAACCTATCCTAAGGGAAATGTCCAAGCCTCTTGCGTATATAAACAAGAAAATAGATCAGGAAAGAATGGAATTAAAGCAGGCTCAAGAGGAACTTATAAATGCTAGGATGAATCCTGTGAAAATCAATATGGATAGAAAATGTAGTGATGCCTTAATTGGTTGGCAGGAAGTAGAAGAGAAAGTGTTGATGCAGAGATCCAAGTTGAATTGGCTGCAACTGGGGGATGGAAATAATAAGTATTTCCATGCTTCAATTAAATCCAGACGAAATTACAATAGTACTTTGGCCCTACAAAAGGAAGATGGAATTGTCACACATAGTGAAGCTGAGACTGTAGACGAAATCATGCAATTCTATAGGCAATTGGTGGGAACTGCAGAGGATGAAAGAAACAAAATTGATATATATATATGATGAGGGGTGGTACTCAACTGAATAATGAGCAAAGAGAGATGTTAACCAGCCCCATTCCTGAGAAAGAGGATGTTGATGCTTTGCAAAGCATGGATAATACAAAAGCCCCCAGAATATATGGATATGGATATGGAGATAGGGGAAAGCTTTTCTGTTTTCGTTTCTTTTGAACAACTCCTTGAAGTAGTTAACAAAAGTATCATGAATATCTTCCTTTTTATAGGTTAGATCCCCACTAATATTGAGGATAGAATTAATTTTGTTCTGATTGTTCTGTTGAGTGGCCTTCAGGCAATTTTTGGTACCAATGACGCATTTAATGACCATGGCAAAGGGAGGGTTATTAGCTATGTGTTTCTTAGTGTTAATATGTAATGGTATATTCTTTTCATTTGTCCTTCTGGTGTAATTGATAATCTGTCAACGTGTTGTTGCATATCTTATACTAATATTTTAATAACAACAATTATTTTTGCTGGCCTGGAAGACAATTGTGTGGTCTGGAGAGCGTATTACAGTGGTGGTCAATTATGTATTGGCTTTTTCGCGTGATCTTGAGTCTGAAGTAAACTGGTTTTCAATTCTATTTTTATCTATGATTTACAGGTCGTTGTCTCCCGCCTTTGCATCAGATTCGTCATTGGAGTCAATCGGTGCACCATCTCAGATAGGGCTGTTAATTGTTGGCGGTAATTTGGTGTTGATTCATTTTAATTTAAAGCATTTCCGTTAGCTTCTTATGTCAAGTCTATTTTGTTCTCTTTAATGACAGTGGGGTGCTTCAAAATTCTGTGTTGAAACCATAAGGTATCATGTTTCTCTCTGGTAAGTTTTTTTATGGTTTATCTATTTATTGTTCTCATCTTTGTCTTGCTTTGACAATGAAACTCTTGTGAAACACAACTTCAACTACAGTGGCAAAGACTTCATTTATTCAGGTTTTCATTTCACTTAAGTGAAACTCTTGGTCACTTATTGACTTATCAACGCAAAGTGTCGATGTTATCATGGTAATGGTATGGCAGGGAAATCAACATCAGTAAAACTTGCCTAAGACATTGACACTGCTGTTAAGAAATTACGTATATGTTTTTAATTTAATTTTTTATTTTATGATGGAGAAACCTTATAACAAGGCATGCATGGGGAAAAAACAAATTTTGGTCAATTATGAAGCAAATTTTCATGCGTATTATTAGAGTTAGGAACTTGAGAATCTCAAGATAATACACACACTCCTCGGTTTCATTTATATCATACACAAATTTATTATTTTTACTTCTATATTCTTCCCATATCCGTGTTGCAATGCTGACGTATATAATTCTGAATTGCCAGACTCATCCTACACAATCTTGTTTCATGTCATCAATTGATGTTCACACCCATTACTCATATCAGGTGAGTTCATGTCATCAACTGACGTATACTCTAAGATTTAATTTTACTAGATGGTTATTTTAGCTTAAGCAATGTGTCCACGATTAATAGTTTTGGTCTTGTTAGTTTTAAATTGACGATAATGAATTTCCTGCACTTCCACCGGTTAATCTTTGATGTATTGTTTTTACAATGAATGATACAAGAAATCAAGATGTTAGAATAGTGCATCACCAGAATTTGAATAAGAGAATTCTACTAGCATTGATTTCTTCTTCTGCTCTTGCTGGAATCTTCATCTTCTTATTGTTTCTCTTCTTACGGCGAAATAGAAAATTAACAATCTCCGCGAGTAAAAGCCGAGGAACCTTAGGTATTATGGCTTCTATTATCTCTTTTGAAACTTTTATTTTGATTTTTTTTAAATCTAAGATATATTATGGACTAGTCAAAATACTTGTAATGGGTTTAATAATCTTAGATTTCTCAATGATGGGAGAAGAATAAGATAGTGGAGGATTGAGTTTGTACATAGCAGAGACAAACCGAGTCATAACAAAGCATAACTAGGAGATGTTGGAGTTACCATTCAACATGACACTTAATTTCCCTACATTGTTTCTTTTCTATTTCTCATAATGTATGCTTAGCTCATGTAGACATGCCTGCAAGGAACAAAGGAATCACATCATGTAAATCCCCCATCTAATATTCAACTTAGTAATAGTAAAAAATAACACAAATCATGAATCTTAGAATGAGTTCACAACTAAGCTAATGTCTCTAAAATAGTAACGTTGACGATCATTGATTGAATATGTTATAGGACCACAACAATCCTCATTTCTAGAATTGTTCTAATCACATGTTTGATTTTTGTTGACAACACAGAGTCTTTAACTTAGATAATAGTTAAAACCATGGATAAAAAATGGATGTGTACCGATCGATTGTCAAAAGAGTACGGGGATGGGGTATTAGAGTTCGTTAAGTTTGCTGTTGAACACGCTGAAGACCCGAATAGAATGAAATGTCCTTGCTTGGGTTGTTGTTATGTGGGTCGGGTTGACGCAGATGGATTGAAATCGAATTTACTAATGTGCGGAATTGATCGAAGTTATACGTGTTGGATATTTCATGGTGAGAAAAGCATCGAGAATGTTGAACCGGGGGTGAAAAGTAATGCGACCTATGTTTCGTACGACAATGCCACGGATACATATGATTGTGATCGGGTGGAAGAGATTGCAGAAGCACTTGAATAAGATCTTCAAGATTGTCCCAAAATGTTTGAGAGGTTGGTAAGCGATGCGGAGAAACCGTTGTATAAAGATTGCCCCAAATTCACAAGATTGTCTGCGGTATTAAAATTGTACAACTTAAAGGCGCGCAATGGATGGTCAGATAAAAGTTTCACACAATTATTAGCCCTTTTGAGAGATATGCTTCCTGAGGATAATGTTCTTCCTAATCGAACCTACGAGGCCAAAAAAATGTTGTGCTCTATTGGCATGAGCTATGATAAGATACATGCATGTCTAAATGATTGTATTTTGTTTCGAAACGAATATGCATCGTTGAATGAGTGCCCAAACTGCGGTTTATCTCGATATAAGAAAAAATTATCTCCAGCGAAAGTCTTATGGTATTTTCCTATTATTCCGAGATTTAGACGCATGTTTCGTAGTGAAACCGATGCTAGACACTTGACTTGGCATGCAGATGAAAGAATTATCGATGGTAAGTTTCGACATCCGGAAGATGCACCACAGTGGAAGAAAATTGATAATGATTATCCTGATTTTGGAGGAGAAACAAGAAACCTTCGCTTGGCATTATCTACGGATGGAATGAACCCGCATGGTCTTCAAAGTATCTCACATTCCACATGGCCTGTGATTCTTATGATTTATAACCTACCTCCATGGCTATGTATGAAGCACAAGTACATGATGTTATCTATGTTAATTTCTGGGCCTAAACAACCAGAGAATGACATAGATGTATACTTGAAACCTTTAATCGAAGATTTGAAGTTTTTGTGGGAGAAAGTTTCAATTTGAGGGCGATGTTGTTTGGCACAATTAACGATTTTCCAGCATATGGAAATCTATCCGGGTATAGCATTAAAGGTGAAAAAGCGTGTCCTGTCTGTGAAGATGGAACCGATACGACGCGATTGAAACTTTGTCAAAAGAATGTCTTTCTCGGTCATCGTAGATTCTTAAATTCAAAACATCAATATCGTGGATGGAGAAAAGCGTTCAATGGAAATACCGAACAACGTAGAGCTCCAACTGGATTGACAGGTGATCAAATTTGTGAAAAGGTGAAAGATGTGAGTATTCAGTTTGGCAAGACTTTTGCACATAAAGTTGTCACAGGTGGGTGGAAGAAGAGGTCAATTTTTTTTGAATTGCCATATTGGAAATCTTTGTACGTAAGACATTTTCTTGATGTTATGCATATTGAAAAAAATGTATTTGAAAGTGTTATTGGTACGTTACTCAATATAAAAGGAAAGTCTAAGGATGGCCTTAAAGCAAGAGAGGACATGGTAGAGATGGGAATAAGAACTGAATTAGGACCCGTGAAGAAAGGAAGACGAACATATCTACCACCTGCTTCTTATACTCTATCTAGAAAGGAAAAGAAAATATTGTGTAAGTTTCTGAGTGAAGTTAAAGTTCAAAAAGGTTACTCCTCAGACATTAGAAGACTCGTGTCCATGAAAGACCTCAAGTTAAAGAGTCTGAAGACACATGATTGCCATGTCATAATGGAACATTTTCTACCAATAGGTATACGTTCTATTTTGCCAGAAAAAGTAAGAAGCGCTATAACTAGATTGTGTTTTTTTTTCCAGGTCAATTTGTAGTAAGGTGATCGATCCTGAGATCTTACCAGTATTACAAAAAGAAATCGTTATTACTCTGTGTGACCTTGAAATGTATTTTCCTCCATCATTTTTTGACATTATGGTACATCTTGTTGTTCATCTTGTGAAAGAGACACAATTGTGTGGACCAGCTTATATGAGATGGATATACCCTGTTGAACGTTATATGAAAATATTAAAAGGGTACGTGAAAAACCGAAGTCGTCCAGAGGGTTATATCGTTGAGCGATACGTTGTTGAAGAAGCGGTTGAGTTTTGTACTGATTTTTTGTCCAATGTGCAATCCATTGGACTCCCCAAATCTCATTTCTTCGAAAAAAAAGAAGGTAACAAATTAATTGGAAATGAAATTGTGACAGTATCAAGGGATGAACGGGATCAAGTGCATTTGTATGTTCTGCACAATGACATTGAGGTTGAGCCGTTTGTTGAAATGCACAAGGCTATACTCCGAGGTGAGAATCAAAGTAGAAATGAAAATTGGATAGTACGAGAGCACAATCAAAGTTTTATACAGTGGTTTAAGGATCATATATATTCAAAGTTTCATTCAGATCCCGCTTCAATATCAGACAGGTTGAGATGTTTGGCATATGGTCCAAGTTCGATTGTGTTCTCTTATAGAGGATACGGAATTAATGGATACACATTTTATACCAAAGAACAAGATGAGAAAAGTACCATGCAAAATAGTGGTGTCACGGTGGTATGTGAAGCAATGCACATTTCTGGTATGAAGGACTTAAACCCCAAATATGAAAATTTGTAATATTTCGGGGTTATCAATCACATCTGGGTGTTTGATTATGAGAAGTTTCAGATTCCTATCTTTGGTTGCAAGTGGGTACATACTAGTGGCATACGAATGGATAAGTCAGGGTTTTTGCAAGTGGATCTTAGTAGGGTGGGGTACAAAGATGAGCCTTTTATTCTAGTCTCTCAAGCTAAACAAGTGTTATATGTCACAGACCCGAAGAGTACGAAATGGTCTATAGTGCTTTTATCTAACAAAGTGATTGATGATAAAAGTGTGGATCAAGTTGATGTTGATGTTGAGAATGAGTCGTATATTAGAAACGATCGAGATGATGATACTACAACGGATGAATCATATATCAGAAAAGATCATGATGAGGGAATTTGGATCAATCCCTCCGTCCGCGTTCTTAAGAGACAAGTAATTCAGAATCCAACCAAGAAAAGAAAGAGATGTTAGTGAAAGAGTTAATATATATTCCTCCATACCTGTTAACACTTAGCAAACTTCTAATAAATTATATATTTGTCATTTTATATACTCAATTGATATTTGTCATTTTATGTACTCAATTGATATTTGTCATTTTATATACTCAATTGATATTTGTCATTTTATATACTCAATTGATATTTGTCATTTTATATACTGAATAGATATTTGGAATTATATATTTGGAATTAAATATTTGTCATTAGATACTAATGTTTTTCTTTATTACAGGTTAGATGGCTAGTAACGAGGAGCACCCTCACGATGATTCTATTAATGATGGAGACAATGATGGAGGAAAATCCAGTAAGGGAGTGGAAAAAGAAATAAAAAGAGGAAAAACAATAATGAAGAATATCATTCGTGATAGAGATAAGGGTATACAATATGATGTGCATTGGAGTCCAAATGACCAATTAATTGAGCCTAACGGTTCTAAATTGACAAGTTACATTGGCACACTTGTAAGGAGAGAAATTCCAATAACTTATGATGAGTGGAGAGATGATAAGCTGAATGATGCTAAAAACAAAATCTGGAGTGAGATACAGGTACTTTAAATTATGTCTTTAAATTACGATTATGTACTTTAAATTATGTCTTTAAATTACTTATACTAACGCACTTTGTGTATGTTTTTTGTAGAGGTCTTTAAACATTGATGACAAAAGAAAAGATTATTGTCTTGGATTGGCCGGCAAAATACTGAGAGGGTTTAGAACATATTTAAACAGAAAATATCTTAGAGATGCCGGAAAAAAATTTGTTGATGCAGAGCGTCCAGCAGAATATGCGGATGTGATTTCAGTTAAAGAATGGGATGTTTTTAAAGCCAAACGGAAAACCCCAAAATTTCAGAGTGTTAGTGAAGTAAATCGTCTAAGAGCATCATCTCCCGCATATCCATACAAAAAAGGGCGTTTGGGATATGCACGATTAGAACAAAAAATAGTAAGTATTTACAAATTGCAATGATATACTTGTTCATCAATAGTTATATCTGAGCTTGTTTTTTGTGTTAATGTGTAGTTAAAAGAGGAGAGTAGTTCAGAAACATCTCTTCCGGAGCATGTTTTGTGGAAGGCTGCCCGTGTGGGTAAGGATGGAGTTCTCAAAGAAGATGTACAACAAATTTTTTAAAAATGCGTAAGTATAACATTAATTCTAATTAAATCAAAATTTTATTAACATATAGTATTCATGTTTTTCCAATATTCATATGAATTTCAGGAGAGTCTGTCTCAGTCTACATCTCCACCAGATGATTGCAGGAGCATACTTAGTCGAGCATTAGATGTTCGTGAGTATTCTGGTCGGGTGAGGTGTAAAGGACATGGGGTTACTCCAACTTCCTTGAAAAAGAACAATCCAAAGACAAAATCTGCTAGCAATAAAGAACTGCAGGCCAGGTTGGATGCATTAGAAGCTGAAGTTCTTGAATTGAGGAAGGAAAAAGCAAAACAATACCAATCAGAAAGGGAAGCTTCGGGTGTTAAAGAAGCTATTGACATAGCTAGTGTCAATTGTGCAGCTCAATCGAGTATTCCCGAGGTACTTACATATATTATTATGAAATTAAATTAGTGTAATTTATTTAACTGACATATATACACATTAACGATGTCATATTTATTATTGATTTTAGGGCATTTCACCTTGTCAACTCTTTTTAGAGACACCAACTTATCGCATGGTTGGCAAGGGAGAAGTCCATAACACTCTGGGAGAAGTACTTCATCATAAACCGCTCCCTTCTG